ACTTTTCTGGAAAAAATCGAGTTGACCGTTTTACGAACAAAATTTAGTGTGTAATGCTAAATTGACACCATGCCCCATTGTCGATGGAATTGCTATATTGAAAATTGTACAACGGAGTTAATTGTAGCTTTTTTTGATGGGGCATGGTGTTAAGTGAGCCCTACATATCATTTTCTCTCAAAACCCGAAAACAAAACTGTGCATTTATGCATTACTTCGGTTTTTGCATGCAAATGTTATTTGGGTTTTCAAACGAAAGTGTGCATATGGATAATTTCGTTTTTTTTCAATATGAATTACTTCTACTTAGTATGGGTTATAATTCCTACATAGAAACAAGTTCTGCACAAAAATACTTCTGCCCCCCTTTTCTGGCAACACAGAAAGGAGAATTCTACTTAGTAAGGGTTATAATCCCGAAGCGTGACCGAAGGCCGCCAACGCAGGAAGAAGTTTGTTTTCACGTATGCACTATTTCGGTTTTTTGTCATATGCATTACTTCGACTTTCTTATATGCATTACTTTGGTTTTTAACCGAAACTGTGCATATGTATATCATAGCCTGGGTAAAAGATTGTCGTAAGCGTCATACGTACCTGCGTAACATACGACAATCTTTTACCTAGGCGACGATATGCATTATTTCGGGTTTTTAGTATGCATTATTTCGTATGCACAGTTTCCTTATGCACAATTTCAGGGTGCCTAATAAGGCGGCTCTTGTTTTGGCTAAATGTGCATACATGTTTTTGTAATGTTATGTAATTAAATGCATCGCATTTTATTTATTTATTTATTTATTTTTTACAGTCTGTTAGACCTCTATTACAAAAAAGATTTAACATTCTTAGAATTGGATTTAGATTTAAAATTTAAATATTAAATATTAAACATAATATGCTCTACGGAAATTTTTAAATAACATTATTTCTTCACTGCAATTATTTTATATCAATATAAAAGCATGTCATTGCCCGGAGGTTATGTAGACGGTTGGAAAGTCCGAGTTTCCAATCCGCGCTATACTTTTTGGGCCACTCCATATCTTGATATCTCCTGGGTGGTCGAAAAGGCCGAGTTTCCGATTCACCCAGTCTTACAAACAGAACTTAATTCACGCAGTTCAACAAAAGTCAGCGCGATTTTGAGAACATCTCAACCCAGTTTGAAATTGTCTTCTTGGGATTGTACCAGAGCATAGTTACAATGGCAGAGTGTAGGTTGGATGTTGAGTCATTTGGCATAAGCTATATACGGCGTTACACAAAACTCTAAATTTAGCCGATACCATGTGTATATAAATATACATATTTACATGTGTACATACATATACATATGTTCAAATACTTCCACAAACTTATGATCATGAACGAAGTATCGTTTTGAGCTTCCAAAATAAAATCCGCAAATATGAACTAAGGTGAACGTTTAAAATAACAGGTATAAGCATTAAACACGTACATTAGGGCGGGTTGATTTGTATGGATGAAAAAATAATTAAAAATCGTATAGCAAAAACGTAATCTATATTGAATTCTAAGAAAATTCTCTGAAGAAACCATGGGTCTAAAATCATCCCTAATCCGTGCCTCTCGACTTGAAAATTTGTTTCCTCTTCTTTCGCTAAAATTATTTTCTTTTTTTGAAATATATTATGTTTTATTATATTATATTATAGTTTATGCAATAAGTACAGGTTTTGTTTTGAGACTAATTAAAATATTCAATAATCAAAAAAGCAGTTGAACCCCAATTTGCATATCCTCTGATTTGCGTTCTGTATAAAAAATAGTTAGAAGTTAGTTTTTTAATGAAACAAATTTTGAGTGTAGAAAAAATATTAAGTGCAAAAGAACTACCTTACAAAACAATTTTATTCAGAAAATTCGATTTCTTTTTGGAAAAACCAATTTTTTCTAACATTTATTTTTTTGGCAAGGCGGCCATATAAATTTTCAAGTCGAGAGGCGCGGATTAGGATTTTATTTTAGATACATAGATTCTTCGGAGAATTTTCTTAGAATGTTATGTAGTTTATGTTTTTGCAATACGATTAAAAAAAAAAATCAACCCGCCCTAACGTACATATTGTATGTCTATGCTCAAATAGTAGCAAAACTTGCAATTAGGGTTTATAAATATTTTATTTATTTATTTATTTATTTGCCTAAATAAATTGCGCATTGAAACTGATTTAGACACCCGCATTTGCATCAAAAGTGCAGTGTGTATGCAAATAAATTTGTGTACAATATTAAGAAGGGCAACCTGCCGGATTATCTTAGCGATAATCTCCGATATATAAATGAGACGCATACATATTTGTTGAGAGAGAATAACAGCTTCAGACTCCCGAAGTATAGAACAGAAGTGGACAAAAAAAATATTTTCTATAAAGGCTTAAAGTGCTTCAATGAATTACCAGAGGCTATAAAAAATTGTGATACTATCACTCTTTTCAAGCGGCTGCTATTTGACTATTGTAGAACGCAGCCTACAAGATAGTGATGTATCAACAATAGCGTGGATTGGAAACTAGGCCTTTCCAACCACCAAGATATCGAGACTAGGCGGATCGGAAACTCGGCCTTTCCGACTACCTAGACCCTTAGATAATAAACAATAAATGAGCGGATTGGAAACTAGGCCTTTCCAACCGTTAACCGTCACGAAAGCGCGACTGGGTGGATCGGAAACTCGGCCTTTCTGACCACCCAGGAGATATCAATAAATGGAGTAACCCAAAAAGAATAGCGCGGATTGGAAACTCGGCCTTTCCAACCGTCTACATAACTTCCAGGAAATTGCATGCGTGTATAATGACATAAAATAATTGCAGTGATAAAGAAATAATGTTATTTAAAAATTTCTGTAGAGCATTTTGTATTTTGTATTTAATATTTAATATTTATATTATATTTTAAATCTAAAATCTAATTATAAGAATGTTAAATCTTTGTTGCAATATAAGTCTAACAGACTGTAAAAAATAAATAAATAAAATAAAATAAAAATAAAAAAAAATAAATAATCGTATTTGAAAAAAAAAAATATGTAGTTGGTTGTCTTTCTTACTTCAAGCTTTTGAGTTTCAACCCCCATAAAGGACTGTTGGAAAACTTTACTAGGCGTTTTACAAATGAATTATACAAAAACAGTTACCATTTGGATCGATGTTGCTTGCCACCTAGTGTCATACACAATTTGCAACGTTGCATTAATTACGGCTTCGCCTAGTTTTTATAGCAGTTGTGGGGTTTTACTTAGTCAACACAAAATAACCCCATTGCGGTCTATGCTTGCGCTTTTCTATGTATGTATGTATGTATATTTACAAGTGCAAGCATACGAATGTTGCAAATGCATGCATTTATGATATTCCATTTACATACATACATATGTACGTACAATTCAACAAGGGCATAAGTATGAAATGATTTATTATTTATTAGCAGTTGTGACAAAAAGAATTTAAATCACCCAACCAGCAAAATATAATGTTCACATAACTGCATTAGGCTGGTCCAACAAAAAAGTTTAAAATGTTAACCTTTCACCCCCAAGGATTTTTCTAAATGGGAAAAAAGAATACCCCTATTTTTTCGGTAAAAAAAGAAAGATATTTAGGGGATTCACAAGACGTGGTAACCGCTGTAAAATCTTAAGCTCAACATTTTTTATGTAAAATAATGACTTTAATGGTTTTAGAGGATTTCAAACTACACCGATATGTTTTTAAACTTATAAAAAATATATATAATTAGCCCCCTCCCCCAAAACCATTTTAACCGTTATTTTACATTAAAAAATGTAAGCTTTTACGACGGTTAATACGTCTTGTGAATCCTCCTAATTATTTTATGTGGGGAAAAAAGCAATATTTTTCGATCGGAAAACTCTGTTTCTATTCAGGAGACTTCCAATAATAATACCCAATTTTTTATTTTATCATTTTTTTATGCTAACGACGATTTTTTATGGGTCCCCCATTGCATTTTTTGCGGTTTGGAATTCATCTGATTCTTATGAAGTTTTGATTTAAACGCGCGAAATGTTGTATTCAAAGTTTCGCGAAATATTCGAATAAAATGGCTACAAGAAGTTTTTTCCTCTCCTGTATGTAAAATTTTAAATTTATAAAATGGGACTTAGCAACTTTTTACTCTAAAGGTACGGTTAAACGTGGCAATGCAGGCGCTTCTTTTAGAGCAAAATGCGAAATCGAAAGTCTACTTTCTTGTGTAAACAGCCATAAAGTGTTTTTAGCAGATTTGCAGAAATCACTTTCGAAAATAAAAGTGGCAAGGTGTAACTGCAAATGAAATTACGCAAATCCTTTCGAGAAATAATTTCAACTTGCTCGTGTTGCACCTGCATTTTTGTTTTTGCTGCAAGCGTTGTCGAACCAACCGAGTGCTGCCGTGTGAAGAGTTTTTTTCTGTATTTGTATAAGATTTTAAAAATGTTACATCACATTTAATAAAATACTTGTAATTAATATCTTCTCCTGATATGAATAATTTAAATATAAGCGCAATCGACATTTTGTGGTTGTTTTGTGCGCATTTTAGCATTTTTAAAAAATTTTCAGGCCAGTAATATTGTTATGAGAATAAAAATGTCTGGTAACACAAGTGAAAGTGGAATTTTCTGCATTCACTGGCAAAAGTAGTTTCGGAAAGTGTGATTTTCGGAAATAAAAGCTGCTTTCGGAAGTCACTTTAAATGCAAGGTGTAGCTGCTCCTGCAATCACTTTTGGAAATTCGTGAGTTTGACCGACTTTTAAAAAGGACTTGCACTTGCCACATCTAACAGCTACTTAAGCTAGCGATAAGTATATAGATATACATATATATTTAGTAATATATATTATATTCATATATTTTTTTATATGTATGTTTGTACTTTAAAGACTTAATCGTATGTAATGCAACGTTTTTGTGAATTCCTTATCAGTTAATGTGTAACCTTATAAAATTGAAATCACTTTTAACTTACCTCGGTGTAATTATAGATTTTGTTTAAAAAATCATGAAGGATGAGATATTTGAGCGGAGTATTAATTAGATTATTCCTTTAAGTTATTATATGTACTTCCCTTTCGGAGGCAGTGACAAATATACGAAATTTTACCTTCCCCCCCGTAATGTGCACTAATTTGTATGTACATACTGCGTACAACAGCCCGCAAGATTTATTTTAGTCAATGCGAGCAGCAGCAAAGGGCAAAGATTGCAAAAATACAAGCTTCAGATTAAGAAGAAATCTTTTATCACATGCACGGGAGGTTCCCAAAGGATTCACTTCTTGCATCAAAATTAAATGAACAAAAAAAGTCGTATTCACATGGCAAAATTACTTGCAGTAATTTTCATCATCAGAATGCTATTGAATGTTTTGCTTCAAGGATTTTTCACTAATTCACGTAAATTTATCAAAGTTTATGCGATTCACTTCTGTTGGACATTTATGTCGGCGGCACATACATACATAAATAGGTTGCACAAACTAAAATTCCGGAAAAAATTTTAGCATTTCCGATTAGGCGAGAAAACACAAACAAAAAGATTAGCAAAAGCACTTCTCTAATAATCTTCTAATGCACATTTTTAGTTTTTTAATAAATTAAACAGAAACTAAAAGCTGATCAGATGAACAAAACACCGTCTGCCACTTAAAACTTAAAAAAATCGGCTATCTGACATTTCGCTTTACCACGGAAATCGAACTGAAAATCTCAATCACAAAGCAAATGAAGCAATTATGATGGCGGCCGCTGGTAATCAGGGTTGCATGGAAGCGTCCACTGTCCATTTTGACAGGTGCGTAATTATTGATGGTGATCGATTGGCTAAAAAGTGTAACATTACGAGGCAATTTATCTAGAGGAAATTATTTCATGATAAAACTTTTTAGATAAATATTTACGAAAATTGGAATTAGACCAGCACAAAATTATTATTTACTATTGCTCATAACTTTGCTATTATCCATGATCCAACTACTCTAATCTAATTGGTTCTAGGGTATTATCAATTTTCTTCGGGTAGGCCTCCACACCAAGTTGTTTAGATATTGAGCGCTTTTCAGGCTCTCAGCACTCAACTCAGCTTATCGAACTTATGACAGTTTGAAAAGCGCTGAACACCATGATCCAATTTACGCAGTCGAACGTGCTTTTCTACTCTCGGTGTGGAGGATTTTTTGATCAAAGAATCGTGATGAGAGCAAATTTTTCAGCAATAGTGAATTTTAATGGGCGGCATACTCCTTGCGTCTGACTCGTGAGTCGGTTTGGATGTGTTTGTGAAAATAAATATGTGTTAGTTACACCAACATGACACCCGGCATGACTCTGAATGATTCAACTGTGTGTAGTCGAAGGCGAGTCACCGCGTACACAAATGACTCGCGAGTCAGACGCACCGTGTGTGCCGCCTATTAAATAGGAAAGTCTGCCTATAGGATGGTTCCGTTCGCAGCTCACAACGTCCGGATATTTATATCCACAAATCCCCTGGGTAGAAACCATACACCCGTTTGAGAGCAAGCTAAAGTGAGAAGGCGTAAAACGTTAAAGCTCCGCCCAATGGAAAAGTTCAGAAAGCCGCGGATAAAACCACCATTTTTTAATGGCGACCACGGAAAACGCCCATGCCCCTATGGAAGAGAAGGACGAGGCGTCCAAGGATCTCCATGAACACTTGGAGCGCTGCCCCCGATACGATGTCAAAATCGTGCTTGGGGACTTCAATGCCAAGGTGTGCAAGGAAGGGATCTTTGGCGCCACTGTCGGAACATTCAGCCTCCACGACGAAACGTCCGATAACAGACTGAGGCTGATCGATTAAGCGCACCCTAATGTACAGTAAATATTAACTGGTTTATTTAAAAATATATAAATAAATTTATTCGTACTCCGTACAACCTGTATAAGTACATATGTATGTATGTATGTATATCAACCTCTTTTCACTGGGCATTCACCATCATTTTGCAGACACCATTCTGGTTGAAGAGCTTCCGCGTATATACCATTGGCTACTAATCGTTCGCGATGATATAATATTCGTGATTCTGCTTCACGCCAATTTCCAACGGGATTCGACCACAAACGTTCTGCTAATGCGCTTGAACGTGGCCATAATCGGTAGTCCAGTGTGTATTCATCGATTTGCTCGGACCAAATTGCCGCTTCGGCTCCTAAAACCAGCGATTTATATTCCCCAGCTATGTTATCCAAATTATTATCGTACACTTTCTGCCAGCCAATATACGGTGAGCACCAGTTATTGCCAATGTCTACCCAGCTGGGTCCACCACAATCAAAATATAAAGCATCATAGTTTGAAATAATAACGCGAAAGCCACGTTTTAAGATCGCTTTAATTTCGGAGCTTGAACCACGTGTCCAAATTTGTATGATATATCTGGAATTGTTAAGATATTGATCAATATATGGCTCTTGTGTAAGACTACTTGTCCACAGTGTGATTAATTGATTGCTGTTGTTGGACACTTTATCTACTCTTTCGAGTGCTTTTGTTTGGAAATAACCCCAGAGCCGGTGAAAATCTTCCTCTTGCAAATCCCAACCTTTTAATTGCATCCATTCGCGAATACTCTCAGTGCCATGCCAACATTTAGATAGCACCTCATCACCTCCCATATGAAAGACATCTGGTGAAAATAGTTGAAATATTTCACGATAGATATCTTCTAATATCGGATAAATGTCATCTACAGTGGGGTCTAGTTGCCCACATGGTGGTTCTCCACAATATCTCTTCCAGGGCTGAAAGCTCTCACAAGCGATCATACCCTTATGTTGCCAACCTTCTTTCACGTGGGCGGGAGCATCAAATTCGGGGACTACTCGGATGCCACGAATCAGTCCATACTGCACAATTTCGGAAATTTTTTCATGTGTATAAACCTTACTAGGCGAATATGCGCCAAATCTGTGAAGTTCTGGATGGGATTTGATCTCTAGTGGGAAACTTTGAGAATCTGTAATGTGCCAATGAAAGGTGTTGAGTTTAACCATCGCAAGGGCATCTGAAAAAATCATAAAAAAATTGTAACCGATATCCAGGATGATGTCGATAATTTTTTGGTAATATGTGTTTAGTTTCCCTGCAATATTAAGGTATCTTAAATATAGCAGAGACCGTAACGGTTATGGTTTTTAGTATAAAAATAATTTGATCGCAAAACTTGGATTTATATTTTTCGATCAAATTTGACCGTTATTTTACGATTATAAATATATATATACAAAATAACGATTATTTTTTATCGAAAAAATTAAGATCA